AGCTGTGCAGCTGGTAGGGACATGTTCTAAGCTTTGCTCTAACTGCAGCCCTCAGATCTAAAGAGAGAGGGGGGAGGTGTGACTGGGCTGAGGATGTAAGGGTCTCCCAAGGGGCCTCCCCACTTATTAGAGCCAGTTCCCATTCATGTTAAACACAAGGTGGGAGGAGGGAACTAGAGAAACTAAAGTACAGGGAAGGGAAGAAAGGATCTTCAATGGATCAGCAACTCAGAGCTCTCTGAGGGGAAGCTATTAAATCAGAGCTATTCCTAATATTAATTATCTTAAATATTCCACAAGGCTCTGATGCACATGCTACAAAGAACACAACACCTTTTAATTTTCCTACCTGTTCCCTGGTACCGGTGAGGATAAATCAGACATACAAAGAAACCACACATGACTAATGAAGCAGCTCATTCACGGGGAGCAAAGATCACTCACTGAGATGATTTACTTAGACGCTACTACCTATCAAACCAGCAATGTCCTGGAAGCCTGCTCAGCAGGCACAGAGGACCAGCGGCGCTGTGGTGCGCCCTGTCAAGTCACATGACTTGTGGTGGGACTCCAGGTAGCTTCCAGATGCCTGCTGTTCAGCCCTGAAAGATCTGACTCACAAAGGCACCCCCCCACAAACCCCCCATACACACACGCACCAAGACAACCGTGCGCTCAGAATGTCACTGCAACTTCTCAGGTCACTGGGCTGCTAAGTCCCTGAACCTGGCTGTAGCTAGTACTCTCAGTCTCCGTAGAATTCCATCATGTACCCTGAGGGGGAAGACACGGTCTTTGCCATGAACAACTTCAACTCAGTTTATAGATCTTTAAGGTTGCCCTTCATTCAAAGATGTGGACCCGGAATTTAATGTCAGTTCACCATTAAATGCCTTTCCAGGCCCTAGGACACATTCAGAAACAAAAACGGAAACAGGTGGTGGTGGGGGAAGAGAGTTATTACCCTCACATGCTGGCCTCCTGGTCTTACCACAAAGATGGGGACCCAGGGATAAACAACCCACACACGTACTCCCGGTGGTCAGAGTGGATGGCCTTAGACTCTGGTTGGATTTTTGAAGGACTACTGCATGCATGGTGCATGAGAACCCTGGGCTGAGTAGAAAGTAAAGTGGTGAAATGTAACCCTTTTTTTTTTTTTTTTTTTCTCGGCCCAGCACTCCAGGATGTAGCTGCATCTAACCAGAGCAGCAACCTTTATTTCATACTGAGTCTAACTACACAGTTTAGACTCATAGTGATCCTCCTGTCTCAGCCTCCCCAGCACTGGGATAACAGGTATGCACCACCATGACGGGTTTTGGGGCCAGTGTGCCCAGGGTTCCAGGGCTGGCACATACAGTACCAGGGATTGAACTCAAGTCCTTGCACTTGCCAGGAAAGTGCTTAGGCCACCGAGCTATCTCCCCATCCCAACAGCAGCCCCTTCTACTGGTCATCCAAAAGCACCACATGGGCAGAAGTCCTACCACCAGTACCCTATTCTCTAAGTTCCAGACTGCTTGATTCCCTTTAACAAAAAGTCCCTTCTCTGGAAGGGAGAACAGAGATTCCCTGTATCTGCAGGCCCAGGACAGTGTGAATTATTTTCTTGAGCTGTAACCCAACAAGCAAGATATTCACAACTTGTGTCACGTCTAAGAAAAGTCTGAACTTGAATTAGTAAGAAATCTACTTGTGGGTGAAGAGCCCCATTCTCTCTCTGATCTTCAGATCTGAAAGGAAAGCAGCCTACAGGCTTTCTCCCTTTACATTTAAGCCACCACCTTTTCTCTAGATAATCCCAGCCAAGGACTGGGATCTGTTCAATTCCATCTCCAAAGTTCATTATGGATGCCCAGAATAGTAACTATTTGAATTATCTACTCATGGGTAGTGGTAGGACTACATCAACACCACCATTGCAACACCACCACCACCACCACCACACACACTACTGTCCTTGAGTTCATGGTACAGAGAAAGTCCAGCTGCTAAGCGGTCCCACACCACACTGGCAGTTCCCTTAGGAGGCAGTGCTGGAGCCAGAGTGGCCACAACCAGCTACTTGCTTCTCGCTCACCCCATTGTACAGGAAGGGCCAAGAAGGACCCTGTCTGGGGCTGGCCAGATAGCTCAGCAGACTAAAGTACCTGCTTATGCAGAGTGCAGCAGCTGGGGTTCAATCCCTGGCCTGCTGTGCAAGCCCCACCCCCAGGGAGCACTGAGAGATTGAGACTGGGCATGGTGGCCCGTGCCTATAATCCCAGAGCTTGGGAAGCTGAAAACAGGAGAATCTCCTGTACTAAATAAGGGGGAAAAAGGACCCTGTCAAAGTCAGAGTTGACAGCCAAGCTGAGACTCCAACCAGTATTCTCTGGATCCACCTCTGCACCACTCTGCTTTCTCCAAGCTTCCAAACTTGTGGGGGTGGGGGGAAGAGTCAGTTCTAGTGAGGTTTCCTGATGCATGTACACCCAGAACCTGCAACTCCAACCCATTCTTATCAGCACAGACCTCCTGCCCACACCCATCTCTCAAACTGGACCGCTCATAAGTAGACTTTGCTGCTATAGACTCCAGGTGTCCAGTTTCTATTTACTCTCATTTATCACCCTGTCTGACTCTGTCTTGATATTTATTTTCACTTTAAAAACCTCATCTTATAAGAACAGGGCCCTTTTTATCTGATTCTAGCTCCCCCCTCTGCTCCTTGGGTCTAATCAATCCGTGTCTGGGAAGAAACAAACCAGAAACAAATGCCACGGTGCCTTTTGTAAAAACAGGCACCTTTCTAAAATGATCTTCCCTAGGCATAACACAGACAGGAATTTAAACAAGACAGAAACAAAGACGCCCTCAGCAGGAACCCTCTGCATTCCTTCCCAGGTGCGAAGTCAGGAATGGCAACCCCGTGGTAGCATATGAGCCAGCAATGCTGCCCTGCATTTTTCAGGTTCAAGAAACTTGAAGACACATTAGGCTTGGAAAACAAAACAGTGTACATGAACCAGCCTCTCCACTCTGAGGAGCTCACAATCTTCAAGGCAGGAAGAGGGACTGCTGCAGGCCAGTTGCAGGTAAATGCAGGCCTTCTGCTACTACAGGGTCAGAGGAGATGCCACACAGAGTCAGAGACTGGTAATGAACGCGGAGCTCTCCCATCAGGTCGTTTTATACCCACCTGCAAAGAGCTTTCACACACCTGCTACCAATCCTACCTTCTGCTGGCAGAGAAGGCTGGCTTTATAGAGAGAAGAAGAATCAAGTTCCCCACTAGCCAACCCACCCCTCCTATCCAGGCTCTAATCCTAGGCATTCAGAAATGGGTCACATGCACCTCTTCGAAGGAAGACAGTAGTTCATTCTTAGTCCTATGGGATCCGTTGGAAAATCTGATGGCAGTCCTGTATATCCCATGAAAAACTGCACAAGTGTAGTTTATATGCAATTTCACTCAGTTACTGTCCTCCCAGGAGGTCCAGAAAGGCAGAAACAGCTAATGCACTCAAGAAGCTTTGAGAAAGGCAGCAGTGGGAGGTCCAGGTGAACTGAGAACACCACAGCTCCTTAATAAAAAGGGGAAAAGTAAAGCCCCTTACTTAGCTTACTGCTAAGTAAGTTCTAGCCTTCAATTAACCTTTGAGATTTCAACAATTTAAAAACTGAGGCATGCGCACAAGCAAGCGAGTGCATGAGCGTGCACACACACACACACACACACACACACACACACACACCCGACTCAGCTTCTTATGGTGTCCTATCTTGACCTCACAAAATGCCCTGGGATGGCTGGTTGAGATAGCCTCAAACAGGATGCAGCACAGCATGGCTGAGTCAGAGCAAAAGATAATCAGGAGAGAGGAGGGAAGGTGGGGGGAGGAGAGTTCAGATAAGGGGAAAGGGACAGCCAAGTTTTTCACTAGCTCTAGGTAAATCTTGCCAGGGCACAACCTGACCCTTGATGCCTGCTATCCCTAGAAATCAGAGCAGACCTGCTGGCTCCCCTGTAGCAAAGCAAGAGGTCTGGACTGAAGCAGCTCTTTCCTTCTGGACCCATGGGGGAAGGGAGTGTCCCCTCTGGTTTCTAGGGAAGAGACCCTGGCCCACTGCTTGTCCGCAGCCCCCTGGTGGCCTGGGGGTGTCACTGCAGCCCCTCTGCATTGCTGGGCACATACCTCATGTAGGTGGCTGGCTCTAACAGTGGTGGAGTAGAACAGGCACCAGTAGCCACCTGGCAACTGTCTTCAAGCCATTGTAAGGCTGTGTTTGTTTTGGATTCCTTAAACCAAGACTCGGACTCAAAATGACTCTTCTAAATTCCTCACTGATTCAATCTTGACAGAGAACCAGCCCAAGGCCTGCTTCATTAAGCCAATAACCTCAGAGCTTTTGTACCGTTTAACCACCGTCTTACCAACATTTCCTCCTGCATCACATGCAATTCTGTACAATCGTTCCAAAGTTCAATAGAAACAACAGGAATGAACAACATCTCTGGTCTGTAGGGTGCTGACTAAATTACTAAATATTTGCAGGACACCAACTAGCCCTCAAATAGGTTTCTGGGTAGCAGGTCCTACAGAGTAGAGGGGAAGTCAAGACTTAAAGACACACAGTGACAAAAAGTATTGTAGTGGCTCCAGTGTCTACAAATGCAGCTCCCCCCCCCCCCAAGAATCCCAACTCCACTTCCACTAGCAACTCTACCAGACGAAGGAGTGGAGCACCCTCTGGACTGGGGACTGAGCTTTGGAAAAAGATCAGAGAGTTGGGGGAAGTTAACTGGCCCAAGAGTTCAGCCACGACCCCAGAATGTCCCGCCTGTTGAGAAAGTGCAGGGAAGGAAGGTGGGAAGTTTCGAAGAGATGGCAAGCAGGCTGCATCGCGTCTGAGGGCTTACTGTAGACCCGGGGGGCACGAAGGGCTGGGCTCAGGGAAACGCAAGGGCGTACAAGACCATTTCTTGGAGAGGGGCTGGAAGGCAGGATGCTTACCTCCTTGATTTTTTCCCGCTGGGCTCGTACTCGGCTCTGGGGTTTCTTACTTTCATCAGTCCTCGTCCCCAGGACTGGGTGACGGAGGCGACTTCGGAACGCGTTGAAGTCAAAGCTGAATGGGACGCTCTCCTCACCTGGCCGCGGGGCCGCAGCGCCGCTGCCCCGGGCCACCGTGGCTTCCTCCCGAGGTCCGGTGGGGCGAGTGCGTCGCAGCCACTCCTTCCTGCGGCGGGGGCCCACCCGGCTGCTGGGGTCATACTCGCCCGGGGCCGGCGCCGCGGGGGCCGGGTTAGGCGGTGGTTCCTGTTCGTGGGCCGGGGAGTGGCCGGCGACTTCGGCGATCACCTCCAGGCCAGGCTGCTGGGTCCGGGACGCCAGGAAGAGGCGCTTGAGGCGAGAAGAGTGAGGCAGCAGGAAGAGAGCCCCGAAGCACAGGGTAATGAGGCCCGAGAGGAAGAGAAGGAAAAGGAACTTCTGCGGCAGCCGCAGCCCCCATGGGGAGGCCGGGACGAAGCCTGGCCCTTTCCTCATGTGCATCGTGGCCCGGAGCGGGTTTGGCGACCGTCAGCTCCGTCCGGGGCCTCGAGGTCCTCGGAGTCCACGCACGTGTTCTCTGGGGGCGAGAGAAGACGACAGGCGTGCAGGGGCGCGGCCTGGAGCAGGGGTCACAGGGCAGGACCGCCAACCCCGAGTTTCGGCGCTTCAGAGACCGTTCCCGAAGTTCAGGGAGTTTGCAGCGAGCGCTCCCGCGCGGGGGTGAGCGGGGCCCAGGCAAGCGGGGCGGCGCGGCTCGGGGCCCGGGCCCGCAGTGCCCGGCCTCGCGTCGCAGCCTCGCCTGCCTCCCCGCAACAGCCGTCACATGCCGTCCCCGCGCCGGGCCGCCCTCGGTCCTCGGGCCTCCCTCCTGCGCTCGCCGGAGCCCAAAGTTTCAGCCTCGGAAGCAGTTTGTAGAGTGCCGGCTCCAGAGGCGAGGCGGTGGCGGTGCGGCGAGAAAGCCCTGCTCCGATCGAACTCCACCCGCAGGGTCTCGACAGTGCCCTAGCGGGCGACCGGGACACGTCCACAACTTTGCTCAGCCGAGGTTCGGGGAGAGGCAGGGGGCGGGAGCAGGCGTTTCCGAGCCTGCGGGGGCCGGAGGCTTGGCGAGGCCCCGGGAGCGAAGAGATGCTCGAGCCGGGGTCCAGCGCCGGGAGCCGTCCGCGACGAACCGCGGCTGGGCGGCTGCAGCTGCGCCCCGGAGCACAGGCTCCCTCCCCGCCAACTAGGCAGGGCTCGGGGCTCCCGCTGGGATCACCTGTTCCCGGCCCCGCCGGCTCCGCCGAGCGCGCACCCTGGCTGCGCCTCCCCCGCTACAGCTGGCGTCCTCACCGCGGCCGCTCCAGACTGGCCGGGCCGCCGCAGGCAGAGCCGCCGCCGCGCCGAGCCC